AAGGGCGTTACATTTCCGACGAGTGCTTGCGGTGTTCGGCCAATCACAATGCACTGGGTCAGCTGGCCAATCAGAGCAGACTGCACTTGTCGGAAGGAGGGACTTTGTAGAAAACTAAGCGTTTGAGAGAGGCGGGGCATAGAGGACCTACAATAATGTACAGTATTTGAAAAATAATGTGTTTTTTGAACATTAAAGCATGTCAACATATTCTGTTACACCAAATACACAAAATAATGATCTTTAAAAAAGCATCATATGACCCCTTTAATTAAACCCAGCTCCAGAACTGTACAAACATACAACATACAAACAGTATGCCATGCTGGAGTGTAATTGGGAGTTGTTTAGCAACAGACAACCAATCATATATATCATAAACTTACTCAATACTTAACTCATTAAATATTTATGCACTTTAAATGTTAATCTTGGAGAGTTTTATATGTTGCCTAAATCAAAGTCTGAAGGGAAACGTTACACATGTCAAACGAGTAAAAAAAGCAGATTTACGTGGCAAATGGACAAGCAGTTACACAGGACAGGTGGCCATGTCCTGTATTTGCCCAATCCATATGACTAACCTCCTAAATGTGCAAATAAGAACGCTAAACCAGCGTTTCAGAAAGGAAAGTACTGAATGAAATCTCAGAACCTAATTACCAGATTGATGGACAGTGTGAAAATGACAAGAAAATAATGAAAATAACCCAGGATTGCTGGGTTACCTGCTGTAAACGAGACAGTCCATATGATTGATTTCTTTATCCGAGCGGTGTCGTCTGTAATCCTCCCATAAATCCTTGATAGCGGTAACGGACAAAATAAAAACCACAGGGGCAAGAGCCAACTCTGGTTGAAAAGCATTGACCACAGGCACGAAATTCAGTAAGGCTATAAAAACAAAATACACGTTGGCAAATCGGTGGAATTGCTCGAAGAGGTTCTTCGGTAGGAAAGAAAGCAGAGTGTATTTTGTGGTTTTGATCTTATTGTTTGCATAGTGTCTGTTGGGGTTATACCCTCCTTTGGTATGGTCATATAAAATGTTGGCGTGCACAATCCTTGTTTTGCTCTCCTTTTTGCTTTTCCTTCTTTTATGCTTTTTCACTTTGGTACTTTTCGTTTCTCCGGTCTCTCGCGCCATACTTCGCCCAAAACTTTTGTCTCTTTTCATTGAACCAATAAAGATGGTATCTATGTAATCATACTGATCCTCCTTGACGACGAAGGGCCGTATGAAAAGTTCTTCACTCTGTTTTATCGTCCTCACCCATCGCGTCAATTCTCTCCCTTTCTCTCGTCAGCACTGAAAAGTTTTACAGCGGCATCTTTTTTTTCCCTCAGTGGATGAAGATGCTTTAAGGCAGGGCCGAGCAAATATACATACGCGCTGTTACACATTTTAGCTATATAAATCATTAGGATAAACCTACAGACGAGCATTCCTTGTTTAAAGTCCACCCATATGATCGTTCTTGCGGTGTTTTACGCAGGCCGTGTTGAAAAAAATAAGCCAATCATGGGAGGTACAAAAAATAACGTCACCGCCGACGCAAATAAACCTCCGCCCACCGACCAATGAAACATCTTAACTGGAAGTGCCACGTGTTACCATTGACAAAAAACGTGTTTCCCGTTGTAAGATGCAAGTATAAATACAGTTTGTTTTGAAACCACAATTTTATTTAATCAGACATCTGGATAAACAGCAGCAGGGTCAGAAAATAACCAGAGTCTAGATAGTCTGGGTTTAATGCAGCTGTAAGTGACCTGTAGCAGTCAGATTTCTGCATTAATTGTTGCAAAGCCAAGTGTTGTCGAATATGTAGCTAATATGAAACAACCTTTTTTTTGTGATAAAAAAAAAGATTGTGTCTAATGTTTACTATTATTGCTTACTATTATGTTTTATTTGTGTTGTCCTCCTTGTCATCTACTTATGTAGTCATCCCTGTTTAGTTTTTTTTTTAATAAGTTCTCACCATCTTCCTAAAACTCTGAATATTATTACAAAGCTCAGAGATAAAACCTAAGGACTACAGACTTACGTTTACAGAACAAAAAGATAAATGCATCTAAAAGTTTAAGAAAACGCATTACTGAGGAAAAAATCTAACCATTCTGTTTGTTTACTTGTCCTGATATCTGTAAAATGCATTGCGGAAAGTTCACTGAGAGCATAAACTTATAAAGCATAAAATCGAGCTGAACACAGGACGAGGAGGACGACACAAACAGATGACAAGGGAGGACAACACAGATAAAACAACAGCAGTAACAGTAGACAAAGACAAATGTATTGTACAAAGCTGTCAAGACTTTTTTTTTTAGCACAAACTGAACACCATTTTTGGAAAAAGCCTTCCATAAATGACAGAACAAGATGATATAAATAAAGAGCATACACATCGACATACTAATTTCTGAGATAACGACAAATATATAGTACAAAGCAGTCACTCCTTTCTGGCACAAATGGAACCTCATAAACACAGGGACCAGACAAAATTAGTCGTAGTGTGTTCTGTTTGAGTTAATGTATGATATCTTGTGCGCTATTTACAGTTACTCTTGTGCCTTCGTTATCCATTTATTTTCTAAACAGCCATAATTGTTCAAATTAAGATTTTTTTTCAAGGTAATTATAATAACAAATTGACAACATTTGTTTATGTGGTTAAAAAATTAACTTATAGAAGTAAAAAAGCTCAAAATAGAGCGATGTATATATTGTTTACTATTGTAAATTCTTTAGTATGGTAGTAGCAGAGTAGGTTTTGGGATGGTTGCCTTCCCACAGACTATTAAACAGACCACACCAAAAATGTAGATATTTCAGTTCAATTAAAAATAGCACATGAATGTTTCATTAGTGATCACATCAAATCTACGCCCTTTTGGTGGAGATTCCTGTAGCCATGAAACTATTAACGATTCGTTATGTTTATATTACTGCCACAAACAAGTTAATCAGCTTCGCTGTGACTCAGGAGCCTGCAATGAGACGAAAGCAAACATGCCGCCTAGTGCAGTTTAATAAACTCTCTGATCTGTTTATCCCTTGTTATCTTCTGATTGAATAAGACCATCTGTCTTAAGAATGCAGAAAAACAACTTTGCAATAACTCTGTATGTTAACTTAAGGCCTGAATTAAAAAAAAAAGTTCTTCGTCCATTGCATAACAGACAAACTGAGGATTATTACAGCTGTTTAATGTAAATGGATATAAGACTGCTTTTGTTGCAATTGCGTAAGCAGGTTGGCAAAGTTTGATTACAGGAATAGGTGGGTTAATAATGGTACAAGCTCTGCATTATGAATGGGAAGAACTGGTTCAAATTCCATTCAGGATATTTCGTATTTTTTTCTACTGATGTACCCTTGAGCAGGGAAGGGAACAAAGCAAGTTGTCTCTGCTCTGATATCTATCTGCAGCGTATACCAGCTGTTGAATTTCTAGTTATCTATCAAATCTAAGTGATAAATCATGACAATGAGGTAAGATCTAAATAGATAAAAATAGATTTTAAATAGATAAACCAGTTGCTATCGCTATTGATCAGGTGGAAAAACACATTTTGACATCAACAGAGGCATACATTAGTAACTGTGTGTCGCTTTGTTCTTTTATGAAAATGCTGAGCATAGGTCACTGTTTTTTTCTTCTTCTTCTGTTTATTACCTACTGGTGTAAATGAAGGATATTTCTGCAGGGATTGTGCTACATGGTGATTTATGTGTCTGCTTGCAAAGTCACAGATTTTAAACTTCTATTTATCTTAAGGGCATTTTAGTGTACCATGCTTTGCCTTTTAAAACTCAGCTCAGGGTGTTTTATATACTCTCTTGGGTGTAAATAAAAAGCAGCACTGCATTTAGAATAACTCTGAAACTTCTTGTAGTAAATGTATAGTTGGCTGGTAATGGACTGGATCTGGTTTTTACTGTTTGGAATCCAGTTCAGCACCAGTTCAGTTAAAGCTTGCATGGCCGGCTTTGATTAAATTAATTAACGTTGCAATGTGAATTGCTTGAATTTGTCAGAATACATAAATTTTTCTTGTTTGAATAAACACACAAGCAGTAACATTTAATACTTCATTCACAATGCAGGAATTCCAAGGCCAGCTCCATCAACATGATGGTTTATTGAAAATAGTCATGTGAATTTGGCTTTGGATGGAGATTCTTTAGCCTATGTGAAAGAGTTTTTTTTTTTTGTCACTGCACAGTCAATTATGTCATAATTTCTGGGAAAGCTTTTTTAGAGATACAAAAAAATGAAATTAGATGAATCACGTTCAGCCTTTTCCCAGGCTTTTACGGTCAAAACAGCACATGGCTTTCTCTCATCTGTGAAAAGCGCATCATTGCAGTGGCTTTCTGGCAGTCAGCATGACTGCTTGGAAACGCTCCCTTGTCTCGCTACTGTTTTTCAGGTCTGTGTTGGGTCTGTAGCAGCGTGCTGCAGTGTCTCAGGACCGGCACTCTTTGACCATGCATCACAGGGAAACTGAATTGTTCCCTAATGCCAAGATGCCACAGAATCCAATCAGCCATTATTTTTTCCCAAACCCAACAGCTGGACGCTGGTACTGCAAATCAAGGACGACAGTGGGCCGGATAGGGCCCTGATTGATCTCCCCCTGCCCCATGCGCTCAGGGCTAAATGACCCAGCACTCACAAATCTGCTGAGATCTGGAGCTTTGGATAGATGCAGCCTCCACTTCCAATAAATCTGGAGAGTGTCCATGCCTGCTGGCTGCCTTTGAAACCTGATTCAGCATTTGCCACTGTTTTGCAGCTCTACATCATTGTGCTTAGCAAGTGGATTAAGTATTGTCATTTAGCAGATCGAATGAATCTTGAATTAGAACATTTAGCTGTTGATGGTGTTTATGGGTTCTGTCTGAAGAAGCTGCCCCCTTGTGGTACAGCTGTTGTCATTTTTTTTTACAGCCTGTTTTATTTGTGCTGTTACGTTTTGGAGATTGTGGTGTCATCAATTGAAAATATTTGTATCACTTATCAATGATTTCATCGTTTTACACATCACCAGTGTTAGCAAATTATAACATCATTCATCAATCATATGAGCACAGGCTAATTAAAATGAAAGCCAAATGATTCATTTGAGTCATCTAATCACAGCGAATCATACCTAAATGCATCTCCATAACCATGATGACTGATTTTAAAGGTAGCATGATTTATTATTAATGACAAAACTTTTAAGATGATTCACATTATTTAGGCTCAATCTTATTCATTAAAGGGAACCATTTAACAGTTTGGGAATCACTTTTGTTCTTTTAAGATTATATAAGTGGAAAAATGGCTAGCTGTACTGCAGATTTGTTCATTCACACCCAATTTACTAAGAATACAATTTTCCTCCAAATTAACCACCATTATATTTTGTCAGTTCTCCAGGCAACCTGTCAACACATACTGTCATTCACATCTGATAGTTTTTTTTTCCATCATAATTTGATTTTTAATATCATTATCAGCCATTACAATGAACCAGTGAGCCATAAAATTTATGTAAGTGGTTCAAATATCTCCACATTTCACACCAGAATGATGCTTTGCAATGTTTTGCAGTAAAGATAATCAACGAGTTGGTTGAACTTTGATATGCTCAGAACAGTGCAGAAATGATGGACATGAAGGCATTTAGCTACCACTTTGTTTATTTAAACGGGGAGTCATCTCAATTATCACCAGTAAAGTATGGAGTGCCACAAGGATCTGTCCTAGGTCCTCTGCTATTTTCAATATACATGTTACCCCTTCGTAATATTATTAGAAAATACGGAATTAGTTTCCACTGTTATGCTGATGATACTCAACTATATATCTCAACAAGACCAGATGAAACTTCTAAATTTTCTAAGCTAACATTAAAAATTTAAGATTGGATGACCAATAATTTTCTCCTACTGAATTCGGATAAGACAGTGATTGGACTTACTTATTGGACCAAAAAGCAGTACACAGAATCTCTTGGATTACAATTTGCAACTAGACGGATGTACTGTTACTTCCTCTACAGTTAAAAATCTGGGTGTTATATTAGACAGCAACTTGTCTTTTGAAAATCATATTTCCCATGAAGACACGTCTCTTTGGCCAAGCATTCAAATAATGCATCTTATAATCTTGAACTGCAGTTATATCTGATCAAATGTACATTATTATTCCTTAGCTTGGGTTGAACAAATAAGTTTTGCTTGGTTGGAAAAGCAGCTACGCAAATTATGTCTCTATTTGTTTCCCTGTTTCTGCCACGGGATTGATATCCCTTACAGCCCTTACAAAGACCTGAGATGACCGAACACCTGAGAATGCAAATCCCTCAGAGGACCTCAGATGATGCCAACCCTGAAACAACATAAACTACCAAATTTTGCTACAAGTTTGATTGCAACATATAATCATTGCT